ATTTTTTTTCCCCCACCCCTAGCCTCCACCATGTTAGACAGGTCATGTGGTATGACCTGCCTAAGTCTAACCTGACCTTCTTGTTCTTGAGTGTAGCCAGTGGTTTGCACCTTGTAGATCATCTACATTTGCATTCATGAAGGCGTCTCTTCATTGTAGACTTTGACAGTTATACATCTGCCTTCTCAGGAGTGTTCTTGATTTGGTTAATTGCTGAGAAGTTGTTCTTCTTAATAATGGAAATCATTCTTTTAGCATCCGGTTTAGTTGTCTTCTGTGGTCTTTCGGGCCTTTTGGTGCTGCTCAGCTGGCCAGTGCATCTCTTTTGGGCCTGATAATTAAAACGGTGAAAAGCTATAAAATGAAATTCAGATATGTCTGTATTACTGTGATCTGTCATGAAACGCCAAAGAAGCTCGCTTACTTAATAGGGATGAAATATAATAATATATAATTTTTTTGCTATTGTCAATAAATGTCATTAACATGACGATGAAAAGGACATTTTTGAAACTTTATGATGAAGATTTATTTACAAAAAAAATGTCTTGGACTGCTTATCTTGTACTGTTGAGAACATTTAGAGCAGTGGGAGGAGTGTGGGCTTGCCTCTGAATAAACTACAGTGCCCATCTACATTGTAAAGAGGGAAAATGTCACCGAGTGTGCCTTACTGATGTGGTTTTAATATTTTCCGGACAACAACGGAGCTCTGTGGCACTGGGAAATAATCTATGTTAGTCTTCAAACCACACTTGTTTGGGGGAAAAAGTGTTGTTTAGGTTTAAGAAAACTTGAGACTTTTTCTTGCATTATTCGTGTGTCGACGTGGGTGTGTTTTTTGGATGTTATGAGAGGAAGAAAAGAAAAAGTGAGGCAGGTGAGCAAGTAGAGACAGGGACCCAAAGAAAGAATTAGAGTGAGAGTGAGTACCTGCATGTTGTTGAACCAGACTGTGGCTCAGAGGTCCCACAGAGTCAGGCCTGCTCACACTGGTGTAATAGCTGTGTTTGATGACCTAGAAACATAGACTATCCCGGCACTTATGTAAGACCTAAAAGGCCACTGAAAGAAGTCGAACAAACACGCTCATATAGACACACACACACCACAATACAGTATCCATTCTCTTCGTTTAATTTGACACATTCGATAACGACATATTTTTCCTCTTTTTTTTTTAGAAAAGACCGTGGATCAAAGCGTCGCTCGGTTTTCACTGAGTCGAAGCCAGCAAATGGCAAAAATCTGTGTTCTGCCTCAGGTGTGAAATCCCAGTCGTGTTGGCGTTGAAATTTAACACTCAAACACAACCTCAGCAGAGCTCTGCTGAGAATCAGCAGAATGTAGACGATTCAACAGCACCTCTAAGTGGCTGCAGAAGCTCGTCTGACATAAACAGCCGTGCCAAGACTGAGTTTTAAATGATTCTGCTTTCTGACTCATCACTCAGATGTTGCACAGGGGGGCTCAGAGAAATTAGATTTTCCTTTATCCTCCTGTGGCTGGATAGAAACTTTCTCCCTCTGCAGTAGAGGAACCTTCTTCTACATTTTGTTTTCTACAGTTATGTGACTAAGGCATCAGCATCATTTCTGCATCTTTTTTGCATGCTAAGATGATTACATTAGGCAGCAGATGTCTGACTGGCTCTGAGCCTGTGTACTGCCTCTCTGCAGTGGCTGGCTGTGCGTGCGATGCTGCTGACTGGCTGTTTGGACAACCGATTGGCCGGCTTGCTGGACTGCAGCGTGTCGGTGGAGATGTAATTCTCTACCCTGTCTGTGTAGGGCAGGGTTTAGCACAATGTTGTCGCTGCGCCATGTTGCTTCACACAGTCCAGTTGTCCTGTCATCCTCAGGTTCTCTTATGGTTTCGAAGATCCGTGTAATTTATTGTGGCTGAGTTCCCTTCACTTAACTCCTCTAATCACTGCTTAATAAGTGCTTTCCCAGCAGAGCCCGAGCTGACACTAAGTGCTCATTGATTGTAATTTCATTTGACATGTTTGTGGGTGCATTAAATGTTCCTGTCTGTCTCTACAGCTCTTCAGGGAAGTCAGAATAATGAAGATTTTGAATCATCCAAATATAGGTAAGCCCAAACAGCAACCTACAAGACCCTCAGTGAGTTTGGATTAGTATTTCCCTGTGAAAGCACACTGTGTAACAAGCGATCCCCATTAAGTTACTGCCTTATCCATGAAAACATCTCACACTTTGAGAAGATTGTACTTTCCTTCTGCAAATTATTCTTTTACTTAGAATACTGTCCAAAACTCATGATCCACACCTCATTTTTTTTTCTTTTCTTCTTAGCTCGTCTTGAGCAATAGTTCTCTAGGCTTTCTTAAGGTCTTTTAAAGTTTTTCTTGGAACATTGGCTGCAGGGAAATCTCCTCCATGCCATGCAATATCACCTGGAAAGTGTCTGATTGAAGCAAAGGTTTTCATTCGTCAGCGTGACAGTGATCCCCAAAACACTGCCAAATACAGTAAAAGCATACCTGGAATAGAAAAACACACAAAGGAACACTATCAGTCATGTTGGCCTCCCCAGAGTCTGGGTGAAAAAGCAGAGTGGGATCAACTTGAGAGTAAACAGAATAAGAAGCCGCCAACATCCAAAGAAGAGCTTTAAATGTCCATCAAGATGTCTTGAGAACTATTCCTGACAACTACTTAAACTACAGTTCAGGCTGTGTTAAAGAATGAAGGTAGTCATACCAAATATTGACTTTTAGGCTCCTTAGAGTTGCAGAAACTCTGTTTTGTCTTATCTACTGTGTGTTTGAACTTGTTTAAATAAATCGCAGAACCTGCTTCCCATTTTCCTAGAAAAATATAAAGAAATGATCACATCTTGATCTGACTGTACAAAAGTACAAGCATAGTTAGCAAATGGTTTAATGCCACTTTGTACCATGCTGGCACCATTCAGACTCTGTTAAGAGTTTTATTGAATTAGGATAGACCAGACCAGCAAGCTCAGCTTACACCAAATCACAACCTTCAATTAGCTTTTGATTTACTTTATCTCTGCCTCCTTTCCCCACTTTCTCCTGCAGTGAAATTGTTTGAGGTGATTGAAACAGAGAAGACTCTTTATTTGGTGATGGAGTATGCCAGTGGTGGTAAGTGAAGCATTAATTCATGTCCACCAAACAGGTGACATTTTGTTAATTTTTCCGAGTGTCACTCTGTTGTGTTAGTTTAAATCTAATATTCATTGCAAAAATGCTTATTTACAAATCTGTCACTCCAGCTAGTCACCATTTCAAATTAAATATTAAACATGTTATTTGTTGGGTTACCTCAAAGCAAGCATTAGTACATGGTTATTGATGTGATTTTTATCAATATACTTATTGATAATTATATATTTCTTCTTTCTACAGGTGAAGTGTTTGACTATCTAGTGGCTCACGGCAGAATGAAGGAGAAGGAGGCCAGAGCCAAGTTCAGACAGGTGAGTCATCAGTATCGCAGCGCTCACGCCTCTGTCGTCATTCCCTTACTGTTTTTTGAGAGAAGACTGCATGCACCAAGATCAAGCTTTATCACTGACTGCAGAGGAAAGAGGGAACAACTTCCTTTTAGATGCTGCTCTGACATCTAGTGGTGCTGCAGGAGCAATAAGGCATCTACAGTAGTTTGTGGATTTACTAGTTTCCTTTCATGCCTGGCCTGAAAGTGAACAGAATTCAATTTTATTTTTATTCTTTTTCCTTCGGTGTAACGTCGACAGGGTCAAAATCCAGATGTGTTCATTTATGTCTGAGTGCATGCAGGTTTGTGGCCTCTTTTAAATAATAGCTTGATTAAAGATCATGTGCAAATACTAATAAAATGTTTTGCTTGCATGAAAGCTCTCTTTGTTTGTTTGTCTCACGTTTTGAGATAAACAATGCCACTGCAAGAATCTTATACAATATCCAGCCTTCTATTTTTCTTAACTGCTAATTCAAATATTAATTTCACTGGAGGGTCTGAAGCCTTTTCCAGCTGGCATAGCATGAGAGGCGAGGTGCACCTGATCAGGTAGCTAGTCTTTTGCAGTTATATTCACATCTGTGGCTAATTTAAGGGGTTTCCACACCTGTGGAAATCGAACTCTGATTCTGGTTAATTTTCCCCTTTCGTGCGGTTAGTTTGTGCAGGTGTGATCAGACAAAACAACCGCACCGTGACAACTGGGGGGAGGTGGTCTGGAACGGTTCATTTATGGTGTGAACGTAATCCAACCCCAATCTGAACCAACTACCCTGGTGTATGTTACAAGTTTAAGTTAAAAAAAAAAAATCCCGTAGAAACGTATTTTTGTTTTGTTTTTTATTCTAACTGCAGGAAGATACTATAGATGTGCAAAGGTCTGCATGGGCTAGCAACTAACTGAAATGAATGTAAATTCAGTGTTCTCACCCAACACCTTCTTCCTGTATATACCTTTGTTGCTCCCGCCCCAGCCAATGAGTGCGCTGAATGTTCTCACGTGGTTTGTTGTGATGCGTTTTGGTTCACTTGGATTTCACTTGGATTTTTGTCTGTGTGAAACCAAACCAAACCCTGGGATGAAGCTGCTAGTTTACAAACTCATCAACTGATTCAGAGTAAACAAGCTATCAGTGTGAAAGCGCCCTTAGAATCACCAGCTAGTCCAACGAAAACAGTTTGTGAACAAACACCGGTTTGATTAATCAATAAAGAAAAGGCTGCAGTTTGTGTGCATTTCTATGTAATGTACATGATATTGTACATGTATTTAACTGTCATGATGCCTGTTTTGTTTTTTGTTTTTTTTAATATTTCAGATTGTGTCTGCAGTGCAGTATTGTCACCAGAGGAGGATAGTACACAGAGATCTAAAGGTGAAAGTTTGTGAGACAAGTTCTCCTCACGATTATCCACATCAGTCACTTCCTGTCGGTGTTGACAGTCCACGGTGTGCTTTGCCTCTTTTTCTCTTCACTGCAGGCAGAGAACCTGTTGTTAGATGCAGATATGAACATCAAGATAGCTGATTTCGGCTTCAGCAATGAGTTCACTGTGGGCAGCAAACTGGATACTTTCTGTGGCTCTCCGCCATACGCTGCTCCCGAACTCTTCCAGGGGAAGAAGTACGATGGTCCAGAGGTGGATGTCTGGAGTCTAGGGGTTATCCTCTACACACTGGTCAGCGGCTCACTGCCCTTTGATGGACAGAACCTAAAGGTGGGCAGCTGTTTTGTTTGTTTGTTCTAAGTAGTTCATATTGACTCAGGAACTACTTGGAAATTTTAATGTTGCAACTGGTGATAAGCTTGGAAAAGTTTTTTCCTCTGTGAGCACTTTCCACCTCTGGCTGTCCACATGTCGATAAAGTGCTCTGTGTGTTTCAGATAAAATGCTTATGTAATCATCTTAAGATCATATTGCACTTGGGTCTTGCAGATATTCTCAGTTGTGTGCATTCAGACAATAGAAAACACTGATACAGTGTACATAAAGGGAGGAGTTATTTTTCTACCAGGTTTCGTCATGATTAGTACAACTGTGGTGTTGCTCTTGAGTTAAGTTACAAATTCCTTTATTAATTGTCCACATCACAGTTGAGAGTGAGGAAAAGCTTTTTGAGAGACAAGTAGTCTAGAAAGAAGAAAAAACAGAAACCAACAGTAAAACTACAAATGCAAATCTTTTCCTCTGAACTTCAGCGCATTTTATTAAAAAATATTTATAGTCCAAATAATTATAGCTGAACCGTAACAGTGTTAGTAATTAGATCTTTTATTCATCAGTTTGAATACTTCTGTTTGAGTATGAAATAGCTTGAACTCCAAAAAGCCTGATTAAATGAAGTTGGGCCAAAAAAAAATCTGAGCCATTCTGACAGACTTATGATGTTCACACGAGGTTGTTACTTCAACCATAAAAAATTAAAGGTGGAATTTACTGTGTATTGTGTGTAATGAGACATGCGCATGAATTCATGTTCCTTTAATAAAGCAACAGTTTGGACTAAATTTAGTCAGATTCACTAATGTTCACAGCAGGGCTGAATGACCTGCAGTGTTATAGGCGCATTGATCAATATCTTTACAGCCACAAGTACAGCATGTGAACACAGCCAGCCAAAACGGAGCCATAGGAGAATAAATATTTGACTGGCATTCACCACTTGACTCTAAATAGCTACTGAGTGCACACTTGATGAGTAAATAAGCAACATTATAGAGCGATTGTGTTGTTTACGCTGGGGTCTGCTCCTTTCAAATGGCTTACATGGGAAAAATGATGCTGTTCCTTTTATTGTTAAACTTTGTTGCTAAATTCTCCTCCTGTCTGTCTGCAACTTTGGTGTGCAGGAGCTGAGAGAGAGAGTCCTGCGAGGAAAGTACCGTATTCCCTTCTACATGTCCACAGACTGTGAAAACCTGCTAAAGAAACTGCTCGTGCTCAATCCCGTGAAACGAGGCAGTTTGGAGGTAATACCTGTGTTTGCATTGATGCAGCTTAACAGTTATTTCCTCTCCAGCAAGTAGTCAAAAAGACAGTCGTAACCATGTGGAGTAATATTGTTTTTATGTCATGGAAGCAGGTAATTGCCACTGTTGGTTGGTGGAAAACAAAAGAATGGTTTTAATTTTATAGCCTGTCAGAGGAATGATATTCTTCAAAGAGTGGACTTAAAATTTGATTTCACTACAGCCTTCATCAACAGAAAAACTAAATGGAATGGAAATAATCCTTAATTTTGTGTGCAAAATCCTTATACGATGTGCATTCATTATTATGAGCGTGTGTTGGGCAAGTTACTTTGAAAAAGTAATTAATTATAGTTACTAATTACTACTTCAAAAAAGTAACTGAGTTACAATATTCTAAAAGTAATTAATTAATTGAAAAGTAACTATTGCGTTACTTTAAAAAAGTGTTTAACCCTCTGGGGTCCAGGGTATAATTGGCCATTTTTAACTACTTTTGATTTTCCCTCCACATTTTACCTTTAAAAACTATTTACTTTGCCTTGTTTGGTATCAGTCTTTTCAGCACAACCTCACGTGTCTGAATTTACAGTTATGTTTTCATTTTGACAGACTGTATTAACACAATTGATTTAAAATCAGACAAAAAACAAAAATCTGAGTAGAAAAAGTTATATTTTTTACTGTAACAACCACAAACATGTTTAATGAATCATATTTCATAACTTTAAATGCAAATATAAATTGTCAATTTTAAAATCCTATGCACACGTTTTGCAAACAAAGTTATTTGCATCCATTTACCTTTTACCTTGATTTTTTAAAATAACCATTTCAAACTATTTACATAACAATCAGCTGTTCTGCATTCAATAAGATGCCACAAATTATTTGTGCCACTCCAAAACAATAATTTCTGTCCACTATAAAGGAGAACATCACAGCCTGATACCTGCAGGCCTGACAGCAGCAGGTGTATCACTCCTGTTTCTACCTGGAGACAGCATTGTTCTGACACACAACACAAAACTATCCACAACACTACACACTAACTACACAAGACAACACATTAACTACACACTCCAAACACGCTAAACGTCACAAATCTCTCACATATCAAAACTCGCTCTCTCTCTTTTTCTGCTGTCTCTCTCTCTCTCGCCGTCACTCCTAACTTCCCCTGTTTTTGGCTTACCACGACTACTTTATTCTTCCTCAGTCAAACAGCAGCACTCATGCGATTGTTTTGCCCCCTGAGCTCCAGGTGTTGTGCTAGACAGTGATCGTGATTATCGTCCGCGGGAGCGCGCAGCTGCTTAAAGCTGTAGCGCCCAGATTACTTGCGTAAACAGCTACTTCTGTGCAACTGATATAAGATGCGGTAAGCTGAACACAGCTTCAACCTTCTGTTTGATGAAAAATAGTAACGGACCACATTTCCTTGTTAGTAACTGTAACGGCGTTGTAACGATAGGAAAGTAATTAGTTAGATTACTCGTTACTGAAAAAAGTAATGCCATTACTTGTAACGGCGTTATTCCCATCACTGATTATGAGTTTTTCTCCTTTGCAAATAGTGTTTGGACACTCATTGTTTACAGGTCAATATCATCCCTGCACTCAGACCCAGGCTCAATAGTAAAGATTTCTCCAGTAATAATAACAATTGATCGCCATGTTGTCAGACTTTCGTCAAATTCCTGTTGCGTGTTGCATAACTGATTAATTACAAGCCGTTAAAGAAGACATGCATGATTTTTAATTGCCTTCTTTCTTTGTCAGCAAATCATGAAAGACCACTGGATGAATGTAGGTCATGAGGAGGAGGAGCTTAAACCTTACATCGAGCCTGAGGCGGACTTCAGTGATTCATCTAGAATAGGTGTGTGTTTGTGTTTGTGTTGATCTCATTCTTTGTCATTTAAAATTCTGGGATTCTCGCCGCTAATGTTAACTGACTCCATCACTCAGAGCTCATGGTGACGATGGGTTTCCCTAAAGATGAGATCACCGATTCCCTGCAGAATCAAAAATATGACGAAGTCATGGCCACTTACCTGCTCCTGGGAAGAAAAGCCCCGGAGGTGAGTTTGTTTGACTTGCGACTCATTGATCGCCTACATCACCTCTGCAGTGAGTCATGTGACCACATCCGCCTTCACGTTGCAGTTCGAAGGGAGCGAGCCTCTGGCTAACAGCATCCTGGGTCAGCGACAGCGGCCGACCAGTGACATCAACAACAGCTCCAGCATTTCTCCCGCCCATCCCAAGGTCACGCGCAGCATCTCGACCAATCAGAAGCAGCGCCGCTACAGTGATCATGGTGGGGATGATGATGATGGTGGTGGTGGTGGTGGTGTCGTAGAGAAGCCAAGTAAAGTAACCTCATCCTTCCCGGCTCTGAGAGTGCTGCGTGTTGTGTAGAGGGAAGTTACTCTCAGTCACTGATGATTGGCCGAATGAGTGTACACTGCTGAATAGACCTCAATAAGCTTTACAACAGAAACATTTTCCCACCGTTGACACTAATTTAGGAACTTTCCATTCCTTGTGCTCTCAGATTTATTTATGGTGGGGGAAAAAAGTCTTTAAAACCTCGACAGACTAACTTGTTTGCTTAATGTGGTCTAATTTTCCTAAACAGTGAACCAACGCTTAAATTTCAAAATCAGTGACTCAGCCTGCACACTGCACTGGTTGTGTAGCAGCTTCCTCCTAAGTCTTGTGGGGCCATTGTGTTTGGCGCCATCTTCTGGCTTGCTGCTTTCCTGCAGCTCCCTCAGGAGCAGCACCTCAAAGCATGTGGAGGGAACAGCTGTGCTTGATATGTGCTCACCTTGGCTTCTGTATCTGTATAACTCGAGAAACAAAGTGTCGATGCTGCCTCTGAAAGATTCGATGATGTATAAATCCTGGCTTGGATTGGCTTTGCTTGATACTGTCCTCGTCTGTTCTTTTTCTCCTGAAAGCTTAAATGTTGGAGGTGTAGAAATAACGACGCGCTTGGTTAAACATAAGTAAGTCCAATCCCGTGTGTTTGTGTGTGCGTCTCTCCTAGTGGGTCCGTCTGTGCCGCCGGCGGTATCGTATACAAAGCGTGGCCAGGCTTTGAGCGTGGAAAGTGACCACAGGGAGGAGTGGGACGGAGCGCGCCGGCTAGAGCTCAGCACTTCAAAAGGAGACGTTCCTGCCTCACCCCTGGGGGTGCAGGAGAGGAAGAAAACCACAAGTGCTGTGGGGGTGAGGAAGTGGGCACTGTACACTGCGTACTCCTGAATAAACAACTTTTGACAGAGCCGTGTTTAATACTCAAGAAAACGTTTTGTCCTTTTTATATGATTCACAGTAATTTTAAGTAAATTTTTGTTGTCTCTCTGCACAAGCAGACCAACGGGTCTATGACTCGCAGGAACACATACGTGTGTGAGCGATCCTCCACTGACCGCTATTCAGCTATTCCCAATGGCAAAGACAGCAGGTACGTGCTAACATTTAGATCAATCTACAGATCAGTTTTCACACCTGTAGTACTTTGCTCTGTTTTGTGTTGGTTTCTTCACATACACTTAAAGATACAAGTGAACTAAAATGCGTCACTAGAAACCACATGAGAACGCTGAGTTTGCTTATTGGTTGGAAGTGCCTGGGGCACAGCAACAAAACTAATAACAGGATGGAAGAGTTGTGATCTGGGCTGGCAAGCAGTGGGTTCATTTTATGCTTAGTTGCTACATTTTGTGCACTCTGCTGTTTCCCAGAATGCAAGGCTTACCTGGCTACAGGAAGGCATGTAGCCCAAAGTTGCAGTGCACACCTGGTAGCTAGCTCAGCTTAAAGGTTTTCTTTCTCTATTTATCCATCCATCTGACACACACTGAACATGACCCCTACAGCACCTCCTGTGGGTCTACAACAGGGGTGGGCAACTCCAGGCCTCGAGGGCCGATGTCCCTGCAGGTTTTAGATGTGTCCTTGAACCAACACAGCTGATTTAAATGGCTAAATTAGCTCCTGAACATGTCCTGAAGTTCTCCAGAGGCCTGGTAACCAACTAGTTATCAGGTGTGTTGACCCAAAGTGAGATCTAAAACCTGCAGGACACCAGCCCTCGAGGCATGGAATTGCCCACCCCTGGTCTACAAGAAGGCACGCCAATGTCTTCTCTTTGGGTGTCACCTGACTGGGCTCCATGGGCTAGGGCTAAGGCTCGGCCACCAGCCGCCCTGCCTCGACAAGGAGCAAAACAAACCAGAGTTTGATTTTAAGCGGGGCAGGTGTGAAAACACTGTGCATGCATGTTTTTCCATGCTTATGAGCATCACTATGCCTGTTTTTTGTTTTTTTTGTTTTTTTTATGAAAGCCACAAATGAGAAACTTGTGGTTTCACATTTGTGAATATGCTGTTTAAATAATATGAATTGAACATTTTATCTTTATCTGTACTCTGCTTCGGTCTCCAGTTTAACCGAGGTGTCAGGGAGTACCCCGTCGACTGCAATGAGCTCCACACGACCTCGTCACACCAAGTCTATGTCATCATCAGGGCATCCTTCAAAGAGCACACTGCCCCCCATCGATGACAACACAGAGCTTAAAGCCAGGTGAGCAGCCGAGTAGGTGATGGAGATTGCAATGGTGTATTTTTTTTAAGTTAAATGTCAACATGATGATTTAAAATCTCAGATTTATTTTCAAATTTTACAATTAAAAAGGAAGAAAATAAATCTCCATAGTAGGGCTGCAAAGATTCAAGTAACTTAAATAACTCAATTATAAAAGAAACTTTCAGTGCTTTGTTTAATCCATGGCTATATGGCGCTCAGTCGTCACCATCTAACCAGTTTAACGTGGGGCCGGAATCGGTCTCACACACAGCTGTTATCGTGTTATGGTGAGCTCAGGTGGAGTGAAATAAAACGTTTTTCTAGCATCCAAAACCCGCTCGTTCTTATAATCAACTTTAAAACCTTTACTGGGAAAAGCTGATAGCACTCGTTAACCAAACTATGTGTTCATCAAGCGCCATTGTGAAGAAAAGAGAACTTTGCTCCCATCCACCACCGTTTCTTTTACACAGCATGAATTCTACAGAGGTTAAAATAAAAGCACGTGTGTAGAAAGTGAGATGAACAGATGAACGTTTAACTTTTAAAGTCTGGTGCGATGTTTAACTTAGCCAGCTTGCTATAGGATGACGGCAGTTGTCGTACTTTTCATTGGAGTGATACCTGTGACTCTGAAGGGGGCAAAGACCATATTTAGTTTAAGGCTTTAGGAACATAATTTTCTGGGTTACTTAATATAGAATATAACACTCACAGATACACATGGACATCATGAACACACACCAGATCTACCTCATTTAGGAGATTTGGTACTATCACCCCCCCCCCCCCCCCCCTTTTTTTTTTTTTTTTTTTACTCGCATTTGACATAATGTTCTTTTAAAAATTGTATTTAATATGGCACATAAATGATTCTTTTTTTCTTAAACACATGCAAAACGTTGCAATTTCTAATCAATGGAATAACTGATAGAGTACTTGATTACTGAAATAATAATCAATAGCTGTACGTATGTCCAAACAATGGTACGAATTGGTATATGCCTTGATAGCTGTAGCTCAAAAGTAATCATGAAACAAAAATAATCATTATGTTTATTTTCACAGATCATCATGCAGGTGCTCCTCAACATTTAACAATGAGAATCACAATGTTGAGCAAATGTCCTTGGGTCATCACTTCAGAAACAAATTACAAACATCTGTTGGAACAGATCATGTGATTGCACCTTAGTTAATTTTTTTTTTTATATTCATTGCTTTGATTTCACTCAGCAAATGGAACAATTAAATGCACGGTCTGTGTCTTTAAAAGCAGTCTGATGGTCACAAACTGCTGTTTTACCCTGCACGCTCACACAGTCATTCAGATTCAGCAGTGGCGTTAAAAATGTACTTTTCATCGAGAAATACCATAACTTCATTCTAAAATGCAAACAGAAATGTGCCAGATGTTCATCTCCTCCAACGCGTTTTTCTTATTTTGCAGCTCGTCTCCACGCGGCCCCTCCACCTCTCCGTCTGCACACAGTATTAGCACCCCAGAGAAGAACCGTTTCCCCCGTGGTACCACCAGTCGCAGCACTTTTCACGGAGCCCAGCTCAGAGACCGCCGCAGCGCCACCTACAACGGACCTCCAGCTTCACCCACATTGTCTCATGATACGGGGGCTCTCGCTCAACAACGCAGGGGCACCTCTACAGGGATCATTAGCAAGATCACCTCCAAGTTTGTCCGCAGGTCAGTGCTTTGTACCTTAGAGTCGTTGCACCCAGCAGTTATTGTACCACCGTGGTCTCAAACTCAGAGCTACATGTTAAACAAATATTTGACTGAGAACAGCTCAACGCTTTCAAAACTGCAGGATGTAAAGCCATACTTTACTAATTTATACTTCCTTTGTGCTAAGGTGCTTTTATTATTGAAGGGAAATGCAGGTTCTACAGGGAGAAACATTCATGTGCTCCTGGTGTAGTCCCATTTCCAGATCAGGAAGTCGTTCTTCCTGCTTTGTTTTGTTCAAACTTACAGTACTGTGCAAAAGTCATGAGCCACCGCTCGTTTCTTCTTATTTTGCTTGGATAATGGAAGACAAGTGCAGTGATTTACTTAAATGTGCAAACATACATGGAAATAACATCTGGTTTGACCACTTTTATTTTTTCGACACAACCTCTGTCTTGTAATTTCTTTAAGTAGTCTTGAGGAATATTTCTCCAGGCTTCCTAAAGGACATTCAGAGATCTTCTTTGGGTCTTAGCTGCTTTTTTTCCCCTGCCATGTAGAAATAATGTTTGGTTTGATGCTCTGAGGTGGCAAATCCACGACTGAATCTGTGTTTTGTTTTCTATTAAAGTAGTATTCTTTAGCTGTGTGTTTGGGATCATTGTACCACTGAAAAATGAAGTCCCTTCCAACCAGACATTTTTCAGATGCTGTTGCATGCAAATTATTCTATTTTTGACAGGATCCCAAACCCCACTGGCTGAAATGCAGCCCTAAACCACAACAGGAGACTCCAGCATGTTTTACAGAAGACTGTAGACACTCTCTCCTGCCATCCTTTATACTTATTGATGGCAATTTATACCAAAACGCTCCTTGAAAACAAATTATAAAGAAATGAGCAGTAACAGTACTGTACATTAATTATCTAAATCAGAAAGTCACTTTTCTTTCTAATCTGACACCAAATTAATATACAGTTATTTTTTAAATAGATTACAAGGCAGTTCAGAAAAGGACTTGAGTTTCCTTCCATGCTAGCAGCTCTGTAAGGCTATACTTGGTAAAAACATGCTAACAGGCTCACATTAACAATACCAGGTGTTAGCTTTATCATGGTCACTGTGTAAGTTTAACAAAATAAAAAATACAGCTGAGGTGAGGTGAATTATGTTGCAGGTATCAGTCGTTGGACAAATTATTAGATGCATTCAAATCTCGATACACAACAAAAATCATCCCTGGACATACTGTGTGTCTCTGTGTAAAAGTTACTGAAGTGATTAAAGGAGTGGCGACGTTTGTTCGGATTCCTTTATGCGAACTTTCCAGGTATAAAAATGAAGGAAGCGTCACGCTCTCTGCCTGTTTACTATAAATGCTGCATAGTTTCCCCCAGTCCTCTGTGAATATCACACATCCACACTGCCACCCCTCGTCATCCATACAGCAGTTAGCACCTTCACGCTGGTCCATCTGGTGGAGGCTCACAGCTTTCTCTCCTTTTCTCCCCGCCTAGAGCTCTGTCTTTCAGGTCGACCCAGAGGTAGGAGAACATAACGCTTGCTGCACTTGTCACCCCCGTCCGAAATAAACCAAACCTCTTTGTGCCCACTATGACCTTGGCCCGTGTTTCCTTAACCCCTTGCGTACTTGCCCACTACACCACGTCCTTGCCTACTGACACCCTTTGTTATGCAGTTGTATTTCCTTCCCTTGTGTCCACTACCTCTTAAACAAACCTCACGGCTCACCAGCTTCTTCTGTACTAAGCCACCAGATATCTGCTTCTCAAGTTGCTAGCTTTCCTCTCCTTATTCTCCCCCATCCTTTGGCTGAGCTTAACAGAAAAGACCAGGCAAAAATCCAGAGGCCGAATGGACTGTCTAGAAACGCTTTTCCGCTCTTTGCAGATCAGTGGGGATTAAGGAAAGGTAGCGTATTGTAGATGGGATGATGCATTTGGTTAATGTGAGCTATAATAGAATGACCCTCAAAACAAAGACCGTCACAGTCACCTCATTGTGTGCTGAACCCTGATACCCAGGAGTGTGGATTCTTTCCTGGCATGATGCCTGACACCCCCTCTGTGTCCAGTCATGATGGGGGTGGTGTTTAGTAGTGAGTCGGGGCGGGGCTGTATGTGTTGATATGATCCCAAGGGAATAACGAGTCTGTTCCTGGTTTATTTCAGGGTACCTAGTGAGGGAGAGGCCAGTGCCAGGACAGAAACACCAAGGTAAGAATTTGTGAGATGTCAAGTTCACAGAGAACATGAAAGCCACCTCTGCCTACTTCCCCTGTCCCCGCTCTCACTCTCTCCCTGATGGTTTCTTGCTCAGGAGTGCGTCTGGTGACACTAAGGAGGACGGCAGTCGGGATTCAAAGCCTCGCTCCCTGCGTTTCACCTGGAGCATGAAGACCACCTCCTCCATGGAGCCCTCGGAGATGATGAGGGAGATCAGAAAAGTCCTGGACGCCAACAGCTGCGACTACGAGCAGCGCGAGCGCTTCCTGCTTTTCTGTGTCCACGGCGACGCTCGCCAGGACAATCTGGTCCAGTGGGAGATGGAGGTGTGCAAGCTGCCCCGCCTTTCGCTCAACGGCGTGCGCTTCAAGAGGATATCGGGCACGTCCATCGCCTTTAAGAACATCGCCTGCAAAATTGCCAACGAGCTCAAACTGTGACAGCAGATGGAGCCCCAGTCAGTCTTTTCTCTGGTCGCAGTCTCATCTCATCACTGGATTAGTGTCGACTCGCAGGACAAAATTCAGCACTGACGGTCCTCGCCATGCAGTATCAGGGTGGACTCGGCTGGTAAACGTGCAATACTGGCCACGAATGTACTGTACAGGGTAGTGGATCAGAGAGATATTGCAAAGTTTAACGTCTGTGACGGAGAGATAGCAAAAAAGAAAACATTAAAAAAAATAACAGCTAACCCAGCTTTTTTTTTTTCTCCTTCCGTCCGGCCCTCTGTCTCTCTCTTTCTCTCTCTCATCGGCCCGCTGCTCCACGTCAGAAGACGCATTTATGTAACACATGCAGTATGCAACTGAAGATGACCATCCTGCAATAATGTTTTCAGTCTTCTTTTTCTAAACGCCTACTACAAGATCTACTCTCCTCGCTGAATAACCATTAAACTTACCGTATGCTAAACTAGACGCTTTTCCACCTGTGTTAAGTCAGTATATAGATCAGGCTGGAGCCCATATGTAAAAAGAGAATTGTACTGTATGCATAACATCTGCAGGTACTGTATTGTACTGTATATTAATTTAGCGTTCTGTACAGACTTTTATTGTTAATACTGTCTTTTTTTTTTCTTTTTTTTTTCATGGGATTTGAGTTCTTTCCTAATATAATTGATGTCTCTTGGAGCATTAATCTTTCACTCTGTTTTTTTTTTCTCTTCTCTTTTTTTTCTTTTTTTTAAGAGCCACCATATGGAAATAGTGTTTTCAATTTTATTTAAAAAGCACTAAATTATTTTGTGGAAAATTGAGGGATTTGTTCCCTTGCCTTTTATGTTATATTTTTTTGCCTATGGAAAAAAAACACTAAGTTGCACCACATAGACTTGAGTAGTAAGTTCAGTTAAAACTGAAATTGTGTTCACTTTATTTTCTCTCGGCAGTAGGTTGGTGATTTGGGGGTCCTGCTGCAATTGCACAACTTTTCCAGGGTGATGTGTATGAACATGAGAGTATGCACCTGTATTTCTTTGATGTTAGTTTGGTAGTCCTCAATTGCGAAGAAAAAAAAAACAGCAGGGTTTAAATTGGTTTACTTTAGAAAGCGCCTGACAGGATGATACATGACGTGCTGATCGCTACGACGAGGCATTTTATTTTTTCTTTGATGGAGCCTTTCTAAAGAGCCTGATTTAGTCCTGCCACCAGTGTGATTGTGCAGGTACTTGTGTATCTCCTTGCTTGTGTGTTAATTTTCTTTCTTTCATTTTTTTTTTTTTTTTTTAAATTTCAGCGGATTTTATTGTATTTATTCCATTACATTGTAATGTGCTGCTTTGTAGATTTGAGGCGTGCACTTTGTTGGAGAAAATAAAAAGGATTTTATTTGTTTGTATTTATTTTACTCCTATTTTTTTCATATCTGACATAATTACACATCCAGGGTTCAGGACAGTTTGCCTCATTTAGCTTAAGGAAGTACAGTGCTGTGCAACAGTCTCGAGTCACCACTGATTTCTTTACATCCAAGGAGCCAGATGTTCTCCAAATTTTTTTAAGTAGTCTTGAGCAGTAGTTCTCCTGGCTTTCTAAAGGTCCCTCGCCATCCTTATTTGGACACTGAAACCACAGAGCCTATGAACGATGTCAAAGATCACAGTTTGACAGGCATAAAATAGTATTTGTGTACAAATCAGATGTTTCCCAAACAGTTATTGCTTGAAAAATGACTTTGAAAAGGCCTTGAAAAATTCTAAGACATGTGGAGGACAAAAGAAATGGAAGGCATACATCTTTTTTAACCAATTAACAGTATCTGAGTGTGATGTCATTAAGCAACAGAAAAAGAAATCCAGCAAAGACTCGACACAGGACCAAAGAGATTCAAATGGCCCTTCAGTTGATCCATTTGCTCTTAACTGAAGCTTGATCAGAGGTCTCAGTGGAAGGGTGGCTGTGAGAAAGCCATTCTTAGGGAAGGGTGAAGTGTGCCAAATTACAGAAGAACTGGACTGAAAATCTTAACCATTTTTGATGTACAGTCAGTTCCATGTATGTTTGAATAAATTGCCCTTTTCTATCAAAATATAAAGAAATGAGGATTGGCTCAAGACTTTTGCACAGTACTTTAGATATGCTGTTGTGTTTTTGGCTTTAAGTATGTCACACTGCAGACATATCATGCTACACAGCACTAGCAGGGAACTCCGATGAAATGTTAAGCTTTATTGACTCTAAATTGCATGATATCAATCCTAATTATGACACAGTCAGTCACATTAGTCAAAGGTAAAGCATTATGAAAAATGTCCTCCTTCATTTCAGTGCCCAAAAATGGTTGAAAATACCTTCAATAGTTCCCAGTTGTGAACAGCTGTATTTTCAATACTTTAAACATTATGCAAACTATTACAATAAAAGCATAAGCTGCAAGGATATACAAGTAGACTCTAACCTTTGATATTTTCCAAATCAAAGGCATCATTTCAAATCATTCTCCAACAATTATCTAATAATAATCTGTCGCGGTCGTTGGTAAACTCTTAAAAACTCTTAAAAGCTTCATTTACAAATGGAAAGACAGGGAAAATGTAAACATTTCATTTTGGCAGATTCCTTCAGTTAAACATGTTAATAGGTTAAAAAGTACAATTTCATTTGTTTCTGTAGATAAATATATGACATTAGAAATGTATAAACATTGAGTGACACAAAAGGCTGAACACACATTAAAAATTAAAAAGTTACTGGCCAGTGTTAGATGTATTAGTGAACATAGATCTGCATTTATTGGGATGGGACGGCCCGTGTAAGGCCCTGGTCATGCATTAATGACTTGACAACATATGCGATCTAATCCTAACTTGAGGTGCATGCGCTGGACTCAAAATGCATCTCGGTCATATGCTTGGTTGAGATGCATACATTTATCCTTTAATCTACTGTGCACTAATTTAACTAGAAGAGTTTGAAAATCAGTAGGAGTAATGGCTGCTGTTCTCAAGTTAGGATCAACGCTTTCTGAGTTGTTCAGCACTGCATCTGCTGCAACAGCCTGCTGTCTAGACAAAAAAAAAATCACAAAATTCACCCACCAACCAATCTGCAACAGAAGAAAAATTAGCTCAGTTGCTCAGATCGATGATCCGGTGCTCATAGATCTGAGTTTTCCCTTTGAAACTGGAGGCCAGCAGGAATTGACGGTTGTCTATGGAAACTGGAGAGAAGGCCCTCGGTGCCTGTATGTTCAGCTCCTGAAATCGAACAAATTCGCCCTTCTTGGCATCCCAGCGGTAAACCTGGGTGAAAGAGTAATCGCTGCCAAGGATGGCGTATTGCCAGTTTCCCACAGCGAAGGGCTGGAATACCATGGAGCCACGAGAAGGCATGGTCTGCAATTCCCTAAAGAGGGCCCCGTCCCAGCGCATCACTTTGGAGTCACCAATGAAGCGCGTCAGGCAGATATACAGGTCGTTTTTGACCTGGAAATGCTTCACAGCGTAAACATCCTCCATCTCTGGGATGTCGGTGCGCCTGTCAAACATCTTGGTGCCTTTGTTCCACTGGTAGATGACGGGCCTCTGGGAGCTGCTGGACAGGATCAGGTGAGGCTTGGAGGACATCTCCATGTACTCCACATCGGTGTCCCGATACCACTGGTGGAGGGACTGATGCCAGTAGAAGCCATTGCCGTTCCACTTGTAAATGGTGGTGGACCCGGCCTTGGAGCTGTCCGCTATGACGAAGAAGAATTCGCCATCGATGCGGAACGTCTCAACGTCGTTTGGTTTGCGGATTCGCAGGATGTCGATGCCTTGGAGCTTGATGAATTTGTTAGCGGACGTGTCACGCTTGTAGATGTGCGAGCCACCAAACAGCTGAGCCACAATGATAAAAAGCTGGTTGTCAATGACCAGGGGTTTGCAGACCACCGTGGATGTACCTGGTGAAGCAGAAGACAGGATAAAAAATAAATATCTTTCACCTCCAATAATTATCTCCATTGAGAGGTTTGAATCACCCCTCCTTTCAAACTTGCACAGCCCTTTCCCAAAAAAATGCGTCTTTCACTTACTCTCAATAAAATCAAAGTTTCTGAAGACCATCTCCACGTGATCCCACTCTAGAAAGCTGCACTTCCCACTGAAGGGCTGAGCGAACACAACGTACTGGTCATTCCCAAAAGAAAATGCTTCCACTGATATGGAGTTAAAATCCATGGACTGGTAGGATTCAAACTCTGTAAGTGAAACAAAAAACACCCACTTGAAATAACTTTTTTTTTAATCCAGTGAAACTTTGAGAGAAAACAACTGTATTTATTGTACTCCACCTGTGGTGATGCAGTCGAATGACTGTGGCAGGAGGTCGTTGATCTTTTTGTCGAGCTGCGAGGCCGGGCCTTTACAGTAAATCTGATCCACGGTGGCATTGGTGCTGTATATCCACTCCACCAACCATTTGAGCTTGCAGTCACAGGTGAACTGGTTCCCCCTCAAGTCTCTAAAGGGAAAACACCACCAAACTAAACTCCGCATGCTGTATTAAATGCATTCAGAAAGGCCTGTGCTTTATGAATGCATTTAATTCCCAAAAGCTGGAGTTACTGAAGTGTGACTACTGTTAGCTTTGCTCTGTGGCCCTCACAGCTTCAATCTTTGCCCTCATTATCATCAAGGGGGACTATAAAGGAGAACCGGACATCTTCAGTGGGTGATAGATTGCAAACTTATCTCTTTCCTCACTGCTGCATGCAATTTTAATAGTGTTAAAAGCACCAGCTGCCCACACATTTTTCGAGCCTCGGCTGAAGTGGAATAATGATACAGTGTTCTATATATAGAAGGCTGCACAGAAAACTCATTTATCTCAGTGGCACGCATGTAAATTGAAATGCAATGAATCTCTTTGTTAGGCAAAGGTAAAATTCATACTTACACTTTTGTCAAGGCCTCGAGACCCTTGAACAAATCTTTGGGCAGCGTCTCAAGATTATTGTAGGCCAGACTCCTGAAAATAGATTTAAAAAAAACTGTGCTTAGTTTCTGGTTTCCACATTGATTATATGTGCATGCATTCCCCCCCCCC